GTTCCCCAGGCCTTTCGTCGCCGCCTCAACCTCCTCGAGGTCTGGTACCGCCGCCAGGTGTCGGGTGGCGCGCGTCGCTGGTCGCTGCATCACCTGTTCGACAACGTCTGGGTTCAGAGTGGGGGACTTGGAGTTCAGGAGGGTATTGAAGAATCTCCGCCACCGCTTGAGGATGGCATCCTTGTTCCGGAGTAGCACGCCGTTCTCGTCTGTAACGAACTGCTGCCCCCCAGCTTGTCTCCCGCTGAGGCCCGTTGACCGCTTGAGGTGTTGGTACAGCCCCCGCATGTCGCGGTCCTGGTAGATCGCTTCGAGCTCCGTCACGTATCTTTCCAGGTGGTCGTAGATGCTCGTTGCTCTGGTGTGTCTTTTTTATTAGCATCGACCGCGCTATCCGATGAAAATGTCGTTTACTAGTCGCGGCCTAAATGAACGTTTGGTCACGCGCCTTCCGAAAAGAAAGGGAAAAAAAAAGGTTGAAAAACACCTGGAGACGGGGAATGTGTGTAGTCTATGCTGCTTGTAGCATCGACTACGCTGCGCTGCCGTGTTGCATACAAAATTGACACGTTCCATTTTTGGTCTCGTGCGGGAAATAATACACTTGAAGATTCCGCTGTTTCATACTACTGCGAAGTACGACAGAGTAACAGTGGAAGCGATGTCTGCCGGTCTGCAGGTATACTACTGCGAAGTACGACAGAGTAACAGTGGAAGCGATGTCTGCCGGTCTGCAGGTCTGCATGTCTGCAAATAAATCTCGAATCTCCACCTCGGGAAAGAACGGAAGGAGGAGGTTTTCCCGTTCGTCAACGTTACGACGACAAACTGTTGTTGTTGTTGTTGTTGTTGTTGTTGTTGTTGTTGTTGTTGTTGTCTTCACATTAAAAACCATCCCGGTCTCTCTATCCAGTACCTCCTTCTGTCTCAATCTCTCCGTACTAATCCATCACTTGACTCGGCCAATTTCCGTGGTCACAGGCTAACGTACCTAGAAAAGGTATACCAAAATAAAATGGACCCCAAGGGTNGACACTCAACATAATGGCCCCCATGGGTCCGCAAGTAAGTCAACAGAAATCAATGACAGATATTCTGGAGTCCTCCACTCCCTCTGCTCGCTATGCGAGGTATAACATCTGAGACTAGGAGTGACCGTCACAGGCCGGAGAGAAACAGGTACACTCCCTTGGTTCAATCTTGGTACTTCACAACGCAAGCAGAGACAAGGGCATCTGGCACTCGTTACAGGTAGGTGCAAATACATCCCTCTGAAGAATTTTCGGGGGACTGTGGTCGGGACTGTCGCAGTAACACGTTTCGACGTACGTTCTATTCGTTCTACTTTGGCGGTTTGACCTCGTGAACAGGTACTGCAGACGTGCATGTGTATACCGTAGTCCCCGCTTACTACCTGCCTCTATCGCGTCTCTTGCTCTTTTTTTTGCTCTTGGCTGTGTATGCGTGTTGTCATGGAAGGATCACCCTCCACCAAAGATCCCGATGGAAGACACTCCCGATATGTCGGTGTTGCGATAATTTCGTCACAAATGCGTGCGTTCGCCAGGATATTCTAGTCTAGCGCCAATTAATAATTCTGATACGAGCATGACCCTACCTGCTTATGTCCCCAATGCTAGCTTACAGAAGATTTCATTTGATTCCACTCACGACCACCGCCCGGAATTCGCCTCTTGAAAACACCGCGTGTGTAATGACCCCACGGTTGTTACGCAGGAACCGAGTTGACAAAAAATTAGACCCCGCCACCACACAGCCAGCAACAAACAACAGCACAGGTAGACAGAGAGGTCTCTGCTTGCTTTGCAGAGAGCTCGTCTCCTTCGCGGCACACACAACAACACTCACCGCCGAGATGTCTAGCTCGAACCTCACCTGGGCGTCGTCGTCGTCTCGGGCAGCTCGTCCGACAACGAAGCCGCCGGTGGACGTGTACGCCTATCGAGGGACTTGGCTCGCCGGGCTGGAAACAACGGCAGACCGCAGCGCATCCCCGCCGCCTCGTTGCCATGATGGGGTGGTCGTAGGTGAGAGCGCAGAGAGGGAGTCGGGCCAAAAAGGAGAGACCATACTGGCTTATCCGATCTTTGCAACGAGATGTACTGGGCGTTTTGTTGTGTCTCCTTTAGGCAGCTAGCGAGGGTCGGGATGAAAAGTTGACTTTCGTCTTTTCATGTGTGATGAAGAGGCACATGGATCCGCTCGCTTGTTCTTCAAATCGAATTTCAAAAAATCGTCGCAGGCAGTTCTGCTGCGGTGTACTAGCTGTAGTTGGTTGACTTTCCGTCGTAAAAAGCACCTAGTCTACACAGTACTAGGCATCGTGATCCTCAAGCTGTGGATGATCTAGACGTACGTTTCCGCTTGGCAGGAAGTATTCTGCCTCTTCCCGCTCTAGACTACACCAGCAGTAGCCGCACATCACAAGAAAAACCGACGCTGTTTGTGAAGAAACAGGATTTGGAATGAACGGCGATGGGCACCCAAGTTATTCGCAACGAAAAACGCGCAGGTCGTTCGCGGCGCCGCGTTTTCGACATAACTGACCCACCGCCACCGTCGTACATCACCCGCCAATATTACAATAGCATTAGACTAGTGCTCTTGGTGCTTATTTTGGAACTAAACATTTCGATCTCAGTGATCTACACTGCACGAACGAGGAGAGTACTTAAAGTGGCAGTTGTGGTAAACAAGAAACGAAGCTGCTGAACGTCTTTTTTTCCTCAAGGGAACGGCTAGAAGAAAACTACAAAACGCCGATTCATATTTTGGTAGTTTGGTAGTATTTATCTAGTAGAAAACACAAAAGGCACGCCCCCCCCCGACACTTGTGCAATGCACGAGCATACGGAATGCCAGTCTGGGTCCGTCCGCTGCTTCGTCGTTGTGTGCTCGTTTTTCCCAGCTGTTGTTTTCCTCTGGCCCCAGCGGGCGCACTTGATGTCCGCCTATTGCAATCGACGCTCCTTTGTATAGTAGTAAGAGCATAAGAGTATCCTACAGCTTGCTCTGCGGGTTGTTGTTGTTGTTGATGATGATGTTGTCTTCACATTAAAAACCGTTCCTATCTCTCTCTACCCAGTACCTTCGTATGTCCGTACTGGTATGTGCCGGGTTTTGAGACTACGGGCTCCCCATTTTTTGTGGACTATAGAGCTAATGTGAGAAACAACAACAACAACAACAACTGATCCAACACTCGACGCGGTCGATTCCCGTGGTCGCAGCCTAACTTACACTAAAAAGGTACACTCAAAAACAATGGCCCCGAGGGGTCCGCAAGTCAAAAGAATTCTACGACAGATATTCTGGAGTCCTCCACTCCCTCTGCGCGCTATGGAAGGTAACAACTGAGACTAGGGGTCACCATCACGGGCCGGAGAGAATGAGGTACACCCCCTTGGTTCAATCTTGGTACTTCACAACGCAAGCAGAAACAAGGCCATCTGGCACAGAAAAAGAGAGAAAAAGAGAGAAAGAGAAGAAAATAAAAGGAAACAGTACGGAAAGAGAAAATAAACTGAAAAAGAGCGAGGACAAAAAGGGACCAGGCCGAGGTGCGGCGTGAACGTTAATGTGCCACACACACACCTAGTTCCAGCTTAAGTTCTACGTGCGCTGCCGTTATACTGTAGGGTTTTTTTTTTGGTCTCCCATAACTGGACTCTGTCTTCTGCCCCTCTGGCCCCTATCCTCCACTTCTACCAGCTAGACGACCCAACCGGGGTCACATAGGAGGGGGGGGTTGGACCCCCTCCTGCGGTTCTGTAGTGTAGGGTCTCGTTTACCCCGTCCATGTACCTTGTACCCGGCGGCCATGGGCCACACGCATAGGTACTGTAGGTACCGAGGAGAGACGGACGTGTGTATGTACAGGCTGATTTTAATAGTGCATTCTTCGGTATAACAACATATTCGCCTGATTGAGAGCGAAGTATCTGATTGAGAGCGAGAGCCAAAAAAATTGAAATTTCGGGTCCAGACGCCTCTTGCCATTTCTTGGCAAGTAGGGGACGGGCTATTCCAAGAAACGGTGCAAATTGAAGGTCTCATCAGCAGCTTCGCGAGCATATGCGTGTCATCGTCATCGGATGCTGCAGCGAGGAGCTAGACAAGTTGCTAGATTTGCCCAGATTGGCTATTTCTGCTCAAACTGTTTCAGGGCGGTATCGCGTCGGGCGGTGGGCTCTGCTGTAGCTTCTGCTCCCCGCTGTAGCTCCACAACGAGAGACTCCCACAGGATGACCAGGGTAGCGGCTTGAAGCTACGGGCTAGCCCTTCAATTCAAGCTACACAGCAAGCTCCACCTCTCAGTGGTAGTCCGGCTACAGCGTATCGCGCAATCTCGCTCTCAATCAGATGCTACGCTCTCAATCAGGCGAATATGTTGTTGTATGCGCTCGTTCGCGGGGCGAGGAGAAGAAATCGAATTTTCTCGGCGTATGAACCTATCGCAGATGGGTAGGACCCCAGAGTTGCCAACACCTCCTCCTCTCCCCACCTGCACGCGCCGCGCCCACCCCCCTCCAGAGCAACACGCGCAGATATATGGTTCCCGTTGCAGCTTGTGTCCGGACTTTCGCCACGCCTTCCGCAACGACAACGAGGACGACACCACCGACACCACCTCAGCGACGAAACCACTTCCCGGGGCAGGCACCGACCTCCGCCCCTCCGACGCAACAAAAAATTCCTTGCTTCCACAAGCCATGGCTCCATCGCCCTCCTCCCCCTCGCCGTGCGACAAGACTCAGGCGTCGACGTCATCACTCGCCGTGAAGGGGTCAGCAGCAGCCGCAGTAGTAGCAGCAGCAGCAGCCGGTCGGATGGCATCAGCGAGCATCGACGACAACACAGTCGCCGGACCAACTCCACCGTCAGCCTCCTCCTCCTCCTCCTCCTCCTCCTCCTCCTCCTCCTCCTTCTCTTTTGACACCGCTACCGGAGGGGCGAGCGGCGGCGTCGAGCCGCTAGAGATGGACGACGACCGGGCGGGGTCGACCCCCATACAGCCCCCCTTGCCCTCCTCGGGGGGAGCAACAACGTCATCATTGTCGTCGTCGTCGGAAGCCGACGCCGGGAGCAGCAGGGGGGCGAGAAAGGGCGGCAGGATCGTCCGCCGAGGCTCCAGAGTCGGTCGGGGCCGCAGGCCTCACAGCCTGCAGTCCGATGACGATGATGATCAGCAGCAAAACCTACGGGGAAGAAGCGTTAGCGGGGCCATCAGCAGCTGCAGCAGCGGTCGCAGCAGCAGCCTGAGATTGGTGGGGTCGCTAGCGGCGGGTGGGGACCAAAGCACCGGCGGCGGGGGAGGCAGCCCCGCGTCCCCGCTCGGCCAGGCCCCCAGACCCCCGGCCCCATCACACCCGTTGGAACGCCGCAACGAGGTCGACGACGGCCAGCACCGGCGGTGGCGGCCAGCGGCGCGGCAGCATCCTCTGTTGGTGAGATTGTCGGACCCCAGGCTAGAACGAATCGACCACCGGCCGGTCGACAGCAGCAATAACAACAACAACTACAACAGCAACAACAGCTGTTGCCGCGACAGCGCTTGCGACAGCGGGGGAAGGTGGGCGTGTCCGTCGAGCGGCGGCGGCGGCGACGGCAGCGTGTCGACGGCCTCCTACGTGGACGAAGAAGAAGACTGCTCGGCGCGCCACGACAGCCCTTCTCCCTCCTCCGACGGCCACGACGACATCGACCGTTACCTGTCGCTCCAGGGCGTAAGTCCCACCTCTCGGCCTGAGCGTGCAGACGACAGAAGCAGCACGCTAAGGATGCGCGACGGCGGTTTTTCACCCCGGTTTGATGCCGTCGGCGGCGGGGTTATTAGTGTGCTCCCGCAGGAGAAAGCTATGCTGCCACCGAGCGGCAAACACTCACGAAGGGACCTGCAGGTGCTGAACCTCGTCGACGTCAACGCAGGAAGACGAGCAGTCCACAACGGAACAGCGGCAGCAGAGGATGCCGGCGCTGGCGCCTCGAAAAGGACACCGGAAGAGCGCGCGTACCTCAGGCGTGCCGGGCTGGACGACTTCTCCTCGACCGCCAGCTCCGTCGGCTCGTGCCCGCTCGTCAAGGCCACCGCCACCGCCACGGCCGCTGCCGCTGCCGCTGCCGCCGAGAACACCGGATCGATGCCAGGCCTCGTCACCCCGACATCGCCGGCCGCGGGATCGTTGAAATCGTTCGACACGACAGGTGGCGGGTTGCCGCCGCCAGCGTTCGAGCCGCTTCCGGCGAGGCGCGCCGCCGTTCTTGGCCCTCCCAAGGATAACGTGTCGTTCTTGTACTCGTGGCCCAGCTTGCCGGACAGCGCTCCGGCGGAGGAGACGTTTCGCGCGGCCGGTGCGACGCCCGCCGCCGCCGTCAACAACAACGGTGGCGTCTGCACCCACATTGGAGACGACTACGGCAGCGGTGCGGCGGCCGGCGGGGAAAAATTGGACACCGCGCCAGGAAAAGGAAGGTGGGGGCGGGGCGGCGAAGAGGTGGTGCTTTCGCCGAGCGCGAACGACGCGAGCGAGCGCAGCAGTAGCAACAGCCCGAATCGCAGCAACTTCGGCAGCGACGACAACTATTCCGGCTCTGGCCGGTCTGTGTGGGGAAATGAAGCCGAGGAGGATGGGTGGGTGGGGGGGAGGGAACGGAGAGGGGGGAGTGGCAAGATTGAGCACTCCTCGATGTTTCCTCGTCGAGAAGGGGGGGTTTGGATCGACGTTGACGGCACGCCGATGGGTAAGTCTGTGGTAAAAGCAAAGGCGTGCCTTTTGGTGTTGATTGAGTTGATTTTTGAACGCTCGCTTTTGCGGCCATGTCGTCGTCACCAGAAGCCCTGCGTAGTATTGTAGAATTTACCCACATCCCTACATGCCTATATAGAGCGAATACGCCACGTGTGCGAGTACCTGGCATTGCAACTGGTTACGTGCGGTACAAATAATTTCGAGGGACATGTCATGAAAGACCCCGCGCTGAAGCTTTTGACAACGAGTCAGATTCTGTGGCCCTCAGCAAACTACCGCTTATTCCGCCCTCGCCTCCACCTCGGCTGCACCCCGACGCTGCTGTCGCTCTCGCTACAAATCCAGGCGAGATTCTCCCTGCTCCGCGAACCGGCGTCGAATCCTCTCTGCTCCGGCTAGACAGCGTTGGCAGCGACCCCCACCACCATCATCCTCGCCACCCGCGCAGCAGCAAGGGGCTATACCCGGGGAAGAAGTCAACCAACGAGGTCGGCGGCCTTGGCGGCTTCCTGGAGGGTGTCTCCGCGGCCGCCGCCGCCGCCGCTAGCTCGAAGACCTGGGCGTCCGACGCGCTGTGGGCGCTCGTGTCCTGCGTCGGGGGCGAGGAAGAGGGGAAGCAGGAAAAGATGATGTCGTCGCCGTCGATTCTGCCGTACCCGGGCTACATGCGGCCGGAAGAAGAGGAAGAGCTGTCGGTGTGGGGGGGGAGGACTTCGACGGAGTGAGGGCACGATACGAGCGATTGGACAGGCAGGAGGGACCCGAGAGGGGAGAGGCTTGCTAGGTCACGTTCATACTAGGCACATGGTCGTTTTGGTTTAATTTTTTGCGTGCCACAGTAGTAGCGGCTTCTCAGGTGACGGTCTACTTTTTTTTAGGGACAATAAACGAGGTGGGAAGGAAGGGAAGGTGGTCATGAGGCGAAAAGAATGATAGAAGGACGAGCACATGCACACATCAGAAGAAGCAGGTAGGGGAAAAAACAAACAAACGGTGTTTTGAAAGCACTTGTTGGAGGGAGGGTACCGTGTTTATGTCTCCCAGCACATGTACATGTGCATGCATGCATACGCTCTGATGTTAGGCTAAAGTTTTCTTGTTCGTTCGCGTACCAAGTGCGGAAGAACTGTGCACATTTACGGGTGGTATGACAGCAGCCACCATGTTACTACCTGTTCAACAGTGCGTGTAGCTACCCTTTTGTTCGGGCCTCTATTAGGCTGTCGAAACAGATGTTGATTCACTGACGACCTGGTGGGCTTCCGTATTTACAGGCCGTAGTGATTTATACTGGCAAGGAAGGGTGGCTCGCAGAAGAAAGGGGCCACGAAGAAGGTGCACCGGGCGCTGCTGTATTTTTTTATTAATGCCGCGCCGGCGCATCCATTCATTCGTGTTTCTTGCGTTTTGCCCAAAGTGCGCAAGCACCGCACGTGTGTATGTATGTGTGTTCCTATCGTTAGCATCGACCGCGCGAACCGGCTGACCAATGAAAGACGACGGAAGTCTTACTACGGTTGAAAAACTAAATAATCCCTCTACAAGGCCATGTTCTGGAACCCCGGGAGAGGGCGTCATGGGGGGGCCTATGCTAAGTCTGTGTGTGTGTTCTATTTTTTGTATATATTTTTTTTGTGTGTCTTCGTGTGTGAATGTGGGGGGGGGAATTGTGCCTGGGGTGAACCTTTCTATTTTCTGATTGTCGTCGTTGGGGTACGCTGCAGCAGTGTAGGTTAGTCTAAACCCGTGTTGTTACTCGTTGTTTGATAGCAATTATTTGTGTTGTTTGTCTGAATTGTGCTGTGATTTCGGTGTAGTAGAAGCTCAATGGATCTGTTTCTCGGGGCAAAGATCGTGTGATTGGGTTGTTGTTTATTTTAAGGTTATACTTTGTATTTCAGTCTCTCTCGCAACGTGTGTGCGTCCAGCCGCACATACATCCGGACCAGCGAAGGCTTGAATTTTCTTGCTTAGTTTTCGGTGTCTCCTCGTGTTCAGGGGCCCGTCAGGTTTACTTGCAGATAGAATCAGCATACATTTTGACTTACACGAATTCCTGATGTATTTAGCTGGTGTTGAGACGTGCACCTCTCTCTCGCACCTGGAGGTATGTCGGATTCGGTGCGTCAGCACGAAAAAAGGGGGAGGGAAGGGAAGGGGAGGGGAGGGAAGGGGGGGGGAGGGGAACAGCAACCTATCTTTGATGGCACCATGCGTGATAGGCTTCATTCCTGAGCCCTGCCTTACGTATTGATAACATCGTGCATATTGGGTGTATAGGATGTGTGTGAATATGTAGCGGTCATTTTTTGGTCCGGCGATGGATTGATATTGATGGGCAATAAGATTCACGATTTCCGGGTTTGGTGAGATGTAGCGTGTGTACGCACGATACTAATGGGTCGTTTTTTTCACGTGCGTGTTGCCGCATGATGAGCAAGGAAAGTTGCACGACGAGAGGGGGTTTTTAGGACTTGATCGAAGTAAAGAAAGTTGACGGGGAATCAATCCTTCTGGAAACTTCCTGTCTGTGTGCAACCCACGACAACGCGGCAGCAGGCGGAGTTTGACACGGGAGGGAGGGAGTAGCACTCTCCGCCGTTTCGTCGTTTTTGACGACGGACTTACTTGCTACCTGGCGCTGCTTGTAGGACGGATGAAATCTATATCAATCGTGCAATGTTGGCGATAGGACTCCTCCTCAAGAGGCCTGCGGCGTGCCCTGTTGTACTAGTATACAAAGCACTTTCTTTTGACTAATAATAGCGGGAGAAGCCCCTGTACGCCTTGATTGGAGATCATGAAATCATAAAGATCGGGCGACAACCATCACACCCTGTGTGCAACTGCGATTGATCGGATGGATAGGCGGATGATGGTTAAAAAACAATGAATGAGCGAGACATGCATAATAGATGGGTGGGACACAAAAAGAAGTTCAGGCAGACTTACTTGACACGTCCCGTTACCGTTGCAGCATGTTTTTCTTCAAACGGCTCAGGCAGAAGCCCCGATTTTTCTCGACGGAGAGAATTCGAAATGTCGTATGCAAGGTCTACCCCCCGCATGCATTGTAGATGAAAGAGAGCAAAAACTTGTAAATAACTGTATGTATGGCCGCCCCTAAAATCAAATGTACGCAGGAGGTGCCGATTACCTTCCTTTTCCGCCGTGCATGCTGCGGTGCGGAGACCGGATGTCCTCGACCCCAAGCCGGCCAAAACAAACCGATTTCGCAAACGAGCCTAATGCCTCTCTCTTTGCACGTGGTTGAGCCGGTTTCCAGACGACAAGCAGACCTACCTAGTGGTCTACATTCGAGGGCGCAAAATTAGTGAGGAAATGCGAAACGCCCACCACGAAGCGCCAATCAGTCACTAGCCAGGACACTCTGTCAGTGCCATTCCTCTCGGCTATACAAAAGGGAAAAGGAGAGTAACTGTCAGCGCTATACAAAAGGTAAAAGAAGAGTAACGCAACCAACCAATAGAAGAATACCAGACGCATCGTTCGTGCGTGCAAGATGACCGAGGTCAAAAAAACGCCCGCTCTATCGGTCTGCTGGGGAACCAAAAAAATGGCGGGACAAATGCTCTTAGGTCTATTCAGAATGCACGTGTATACTGGTGTATACTGCAGAGAGAGAGAGAGAGAGAGAGAGAGAGAGAGAGAGAGAGAGAGAGAGAGGTGATCGTCTCGGTCAAGGAAAAAAAATAAGTATGGTCTAGTCTAAACAAACAATACAAGTATAGACTGTTTTATTTTCACAAAGATTTCGGACCTTATTTGGAAAAAAAATAAATATTGTCTAGTCTTAACAAACAATACAAGTATAGACTATGTGTTTTATGATTACAAAGATGTCGGACCTTATTTTCTCATCTCACAAAATCTAACGCTCGTACATTTAGCGGTCGAGCCAAAGCACGCTCGCGACATCACATCAAGAACAATGTCTCTCCCTCGCATGGTATGCATACTGCACACATACTTGGCGGGGCGGATCGATCGGTGTCCTACGCGAGAGTTAGAAGAAACAGCGTTGTCCTACGCGAGAGTGAGAAGAAAGCCGGCAACGAGAAGTACAACGTTAATAATATAATGAAACTGGCCAGGCGGGCGGGGCGGCAACAAAAGCCCCCTCAAATCACATGTTTACAGTTCCCCCCGGCACACCCACCGATCGATCCAGACAGTTAGGTGGCCGCCGACGATGAACTGAGATTCCAAGAGCCAGGACTACATGCGCGACGAAAGACAGAGGTGCCCCCCCTCCC